AACCAGAGATCACAATCTCTACTCAAGCACTAGAGAATTTAAACTACTTAACAAACTAATTTTCCATGGCGATATTCAATAAGAAACTTGCCATACCTTTTATCCTCTCTTTTTTACGAAAATACATGTCCTCACAATCAGTTTGACTGCGTTATGAGAATAATTTCAAATAAAGCCTTAAAAGCCCTGGGGAATAATTAAGATGCAAAAATATAGGCATGCGCAACCTAAATCTTGTTTCTAATAAATTTGAGGCCGGCTTATGTAAAATGAAAGACATAGTAAAAAAATTTCTACCAAGTATATTTTCCGCACAACAATAAAATTGGACTCCTCAATCAGATTAATAACACATCAAACAATTCAGTCATTATCCGCAACACCATTCAAAGTTCATATGGTTTTGAGAACCTAAATTCACTGACCTCTGAGGTCGAGAATCAACAGACTCTGGCTTCCGCCAAGCCCTTTCAGTCCTGGACTCTTGCGGTCTCTCTCTCCCATTGCCACTCCAAGAACTCCTTTTCCAAGTCGCTGGGCGATCATCTGACGGGTCAGAAACATCATTAATCTTCACATACTCAAGTTTATCATCAATTTCCTTCAAGTCTTGACCCTTCTCCTTCAACACTTCCTCTCTTGGCCTTGCCTCTCCAAATGGATTATTCCCTTTCGGTTTAACTATACTGACGTTATTGGTCTTCTGCCCCTCGTCCACTGGGAGTGCCCGAGGCTGTAAGTTCAACCTTGGCCTACCACCACTCTCCTCTCTTTTTCTCCCCCAAGACTCAGAATCTGCAGCATCCTCAAAACCCCCTCTTCTCTCTCTCAAACTATCAAATGCTCCACCAATCTTCCTTCCCTCTACTTCCTTTTTCTTTAACCAATTATCTGAATCTGCTCCGCCAACATTCGATTCTAATCCAAATCCCCCTCTTTTCTCATATTTCCGAGACTCAGAGGGCACGAAAGCCTTATTTCGAACCCAATTATCAGATTCATCAGCTCGGGACTGTGAATCCGAGAAGAACCCACCTTTCTCTCCTCTCTCCCTCTTCTCAAGACCATTACCAACCACTGGTTTCTTCATCGCAGCCCAATTATCAGTCTCATCCGCCCGTGAAGGAGCGAATTCACGATCTGAATCCCTATTAAAGCTTCCCTGTCTACGCGGCTGCTCATCAGAGGAGACCCTAGAGGAGCGGTCATAGGAAGCGCCGTAGGATCTAAACCCACCACCGTGTCGGGCCCCGTCCAGTTCCTCAGTGGACCATTGACGCGGGCAGGTTGGTAGAACCAACATTTCGTCGGGAGTAAGACCCTTAGAGAGTGCCGGCTTGGCGGCGCCGTAAGTAGTGAATTCCTGAAGAGATAGGGTTTGGGGCTTCTTCTTCTTGGCCTTGGTGGCGACTGCGGCGGCGAGGGAAGGGAAATCAGCCTTGTCGCCACCGCCATTGGAATGGCCATTAACTGAGTCTTCCTTATGCTGCTGGAGGAGCTCGGATTCATTCTCCTCCGTGTCCAATGCCCACGCGCCCGGTT